TAAGGTTTATTTCTTGGACCGTTAAAGAAACGGATGTTTTTTTTTTTTATTAACTTTGATGATTATCACTTTAACAATTTATTATTGTTAATTTGATATCCCAAAATAAGTAAAAAAAGATGTATGTAACTATGTGGGTATGTGCAAATTATAATGATATATTTATAAAAAAAAAAACTCTATACTATAATTAGAATTTCCTAAAAATGAAAAAAAAAAAAAACAATTATAAAAATAAAAATAAAATAAAAATATTGTTTTGGATGTATTTTTTGACAGTGTATATTTTGTGTGTTGGTAAATGTGGGTTTGTTTAGTGTTTGTTATGTGTAAATGTGTAAAGGTTAGTGTTAAACATAATTTTGTTTATATTTTAATATTTGAATTATATTATTTTTTGGTATGTGTGTTAGTCAGGTAAGAACTAATGATTCTACCACACACAAACACACAAACCTGTATATTATATAACAAAAATAAAATAGTATAAAAAAAAAAAAAAAACACACAAACACACACATTCAATTTATAAATAAATCAAATATAAAAATTAATTTTTTTATAATTTACATATATGTATAAATATTTATATATACATAAGTAAATATTATATTTTTTATTTAATTTATTTTCTTATTTTTATTATTTTTTTTTTTTTTTATTTATTTTTTAAACTTTATTATTTATACATATTTATCTATCATTTTATTTGTACTTTATATATCATTTTTTATGTTATTATTATAAATTATTTATATTAATTGTCATACACCTAAAATAAATAAATAAATAAATAAAATTAAATAAACAAAAAAAAAAAATTTAAAATTTAAAATTTTAAAATTAAAATAAATAACAACACATTAAAACAAAATTACAAAATTACAAAAAAAAAAAAAAAAAATAATAAAAATTATAAATTTAAATAAACTCTGTGTTTTTTTTTTTTTTTTTTTTATAAATAGAATCAAACCCTTATTTTTACAAAGTAAAAAAATAAATATATGGTATTTAATATAAAAACTTTTATAATATAGAATATAAAACAATTCCTTACCCAAAAAATGGAATACAGTTAATTAATAGTAAATATTGGATTTGAATAATAACAATACCAATAATAATAATAGTGTTGGCACCAACAATAACAGTAATAACTATTATCATCACAACCATCAACAATATTTATACATACGTGATTTGCTATACTCTGAACAAACAGAAATATTATCGCCACTAAGCCACGACCAAGTAGAATGCAAATGTACAAGTTTATACAGCAGTAACTGCACCTGCTTTGGTGAGCTACTATTTCCAATTATTGTAAAAGAACTAAGTGAAGATCATTTTGAACATGTATGTGACATCAATTCAAAATATACAATATGTAAAGAACACAATAATAACAACAACAATAACAATAACAATATCAATAATAACCATACACATTCATATAATCATCCAATGGTAGACGATAATGAAAATGAAAACGAAGCCAACAACAACAATAATAATAATAATGAAACATGTAATAATGCCATACTTTATATTTGCGTAAAATGTATTAAACCATTGTGCTTGGAATGTGTTGATACTCATGAACATTCATTTGAAGATATATACAGAGTCAATGTTCATTCCCCAAATTTTCAAATTCTTTATAGCTGTTTATTAAATCACAATGTCCCAATCAACTGTTTGTTTGACGCCATCAAAAAAGAATATGAAGATTGTATTCATTTAGTCCATTTCTTCTATAAAGATAGTAAACTAGTTGACGAACTTGCTTTCATTTTTAATGAATTTGTTGAACTAACTAGAAAAGTAATTTCAATTGAAAAAGAATTAGTAGTCTCAACATTTTTAAAATCTTTTAATAAAAACAATTTTATTAACAACAGCGGTAACAATAACAATAGCAGCAACAACAACAACAACAACAATAACAACACCCATATAAATAATAACAATAACAATAATTGCATTATAAATAAAAAAAAAGAAAACTGATATGAAAAAAACAATACAAATAACAACCATATCTATAATATATACAATGTAAAAACAAAGAAACAAAAATATAGCGAATAATTACAATAATTTAAAAAATTAAATAGTATAAAAACATAATTAATTTTTTTAAACTCTATTTTCTTTAAAACTTTAATAAAACATATATACTTATATATAAAACTTTAATAAAAATAATATCTTATTATTTTTATTATTATTATTTTTTTTTTCGAATATTGTTGTCTTGTAATATTCAATCTTTATTTAAAACCATCATCATAATACTTCTATTATGCGTGTGAACTTGGATGAAAAATATTATTTTATTTTTAATTTTTTTAAAATTTTTTTTTTTTATTTTTTAATTTTTTTTTTTATTTTTTTCATTTTTATAATTTCAAAAAAAAAAAAAAAGATAAAAAATTAAAGATATATCATTTTTTATTAATAATAAATAACAATAATATTAATTTATAGTATATATTAAAAATGCAAAAAACCCCACTATGGCAATATAAAGCATTTCAAAACTGGGTTAAAACAATATTAATTTCAGAAATGGTGGATGAAAAAGATATGGTAGCCGATTTTTATTGTAATGGTATGGATACAGGTAAATGGGAACGTTCAAAAATACACTGCTATTATGGATTTGATCCTTCCCCAGAAGAACTATCAATTGCTGAAAGTAAATTAAAACAAAAAAAAAACCCATACTCTGCAAAGTTTTTAAAATGTAATTTTAACGAAGATCAAATTGATACAATAATAAAAAATGACACAAACCAAATAATAGGGATGGATGTAGATAATAATAATAATAATACTAGAAATAACAATTATAATAATAGTTTTAATATAGATCAGAATGGAATAAATAATAGTAGTGGTGTAATATTTGATGTAGTAAGTTGTTTTAATGGTGTACAAAATTCATTCTCTAGTGCGCAAGATGCTGAACAATTAATAAAGAATGTTTCAGTATTGTTAAAAGATGGTGGATTCTTTTTTGGAATAATACCCGATTCATCATCTATTTGGTACAGGTCTCAAAAGGTTTCAAGTGGTTTCCCTGGTGTAAAATCAGCTCTTTACACCATCGAGTTCAATTCTGAAATTTCAAATTTTTTCGGTTGTAAATATAAATTAACTTTAAAAGATGGCTCAATTATTGAAGAAAATTTAATTCATTTTCCTTCATTTATAAAGTAATTATTTTTATTATTTATTCCGCTCTTTACCTCACAAACTTTTGCTAACCTATTATTTTTTTTTTAAATAGTATTTGTAAAAAATATAATTTAACTTTGGTAGAGGCTATTAACTTTACAGATTTTTATGATGAAAATAAAAAAACTTATGAAAAGTTACTAAAAAATTCTGGAGTTTTGCCTCAGGGTATCAAAAAAATCGACCAACCACAAATGGAACTGATTGGTAATTATCATAAATTTTATAAAATAATTTTATTTCAAATATTCCCTTATTAATCAAATTTTTATTTCATTTACTAATATAGGTTTATATACAACTTTTATTTTTGTAAAAGAAAAACCTGAAATTAAAATGGTTCAAATAAAATAACTATTTTTAAACTACACAACTCTTAAAAAAAAATTTCTTTGGAATTTTTTTATTTTTTATTTTTTTATTTATTTTTTATTTTTTTTAATATTTTTTTTTTTAATATTTTTTTTTTGTTGCATAAAGATATTTTTTAACACTCAACCATTACTAATTTCTAATATTAGAATTTGATTGTTAATAATGTGCATAGATAAAATAAAAAATGAATAATAATAATAATAATCATATTTTTAACAATATTAATAATTATAATATGAATAATAATAATAATACAACAGTTGAAGAATTACCAAAATCAATAAATTTAAAAGATTTAATAAAACATTTAAAAAAAGATATTAGGAATGCAAATTTAATAGCTAATGAATCAATTATAGAAAATTCATTATTAGATAAAGAGATTAGAGGGAATTTATTTCCAATTCTTCATAAAATATTATTAAATACACCAAAAGAAATTGTATCTTTAAAACCACATTCAACAAACAAGGTAAATAGTAATAACAGTGGTAATAACAGTAACAGTAAATCAAATTCAGTATCACAAGGATTTTTATATTTGTTTGATAAATCTTCATCAAAATTATATTTACAAGATAATATAAAATGGATTAAAGCAAAGGCAAATGTTCGTATGGTAATCATTGATGAACAACGTGGTATTTATAAATTAAAAACCCACAAGAAAGATATTGGTGAACCAGTATTAAGAAGACAAACATTTAATGGTATTTGCGAAAATGGTATATTCTGGAGAAGATATGAATATAAATTGGTTAGAAAAGAACTATATAATAAAGTAGTTTTAGATGACAACAATAACCATTATAGCTATAATGAAGATAGTAACAACGGCAGTGATGAAGAAGATACTGAAAACTCTATAAATGAAAGATTTATAGTTCAGGATTGGCCAATATTTGTACATTATTTAACAAAACCATCGTCAGAATCAATTCCAAATGAACAGGATTCAGTAAAAGAAACTATAACTAATAATAATAGTAACAAAAATAGTAATAACAGTAGTAGTAATACCAATAATAGTAATACACAACCAACACCCAAGAAAAGAGATTTATCTTTAAATAATATTTTTGGTTTTTTAAAAAAGAAAAAAACAGATGACAATAGTAATAATAATAATAATGGGTTTTTAGATGGAACATCACCAATACTACAACAACACCACAATCACTTTTTTAATCCATCAACACCCAATATTTTTATACCAAACTCACCAGAGCTATCAGATACACCAAATTATTTAACAGATTATTCATCCATTCACTCAAATGTACCAAACACAAGTAATAATACGCCACCTATATCCTCAGAAAGGAGTAGCTCAAACAACATATTGGATGAAAATTACATTTTAAATTTTGCTGATAATTGGACTTTTTCAAATTTAAGTAGTGCCAATTTATTCCCAGAAATACCAAATACAGTACATAATACCATAAGTAATGATTTAAATTTACAGTCATTACACCAACAGCAAATATTAGCAACAACAACAACAACCACTACATCCACATCCTCTGGGACTGAGAGTTCAATTAATATAGAAAATTTAAACAATATTAATAACGATTTAAATAACAAGAATTTGAATAGTAACAGCATTACTAATAATATAGATAATAACCTGATTACTGGGATTAATAATGAAAATAAGAATAATGATATTAATAATGATAATAACAATTTAAATAATGAAAACAATAACAATAATACCAATTCTAATAGTCCATATATTGTATCATATTCACCAGATACATCACCAGCTTTAGAACAAAATAAAATTATATGTTTTGTTAGTGGTTTCAAATGTTTTGAAAAAAAAACTATAATGTATACTTCATTTTGGGCCGTTTTTGATGGAAACCTAGAAATTTTAGCCTTACCCATCTCAAAGAATGTATTGGAATTTACATCTCCAATTTATGGTGAAGCCTCTATTTGTCATTTTAACATTGTATGTAAAGAAAATAGCTCCAAAAGAATTATAGAGCAAACTCCCTCAGTTACTTTCTGTTTTACACCCTCGGATCTCAGTTCAAAATTAAAAATCTCTTTTGATCGTTGTAAAATTCAAACCCCAATAGCAATTATCCCAAAATTTAGACATTCTGTAAAGCATTTGGATTTATCAAATAACTCAATAACGTATGTATAGAATTTATCATCTTTTAAATCAAAATCAATACATTTATTAACCATATCATCTATTATAGAAATGTAGATTTTTTAAATGGATTTTATAGATTAGAAACATTAATTTTACATAATAATAAATTAACTGAACATATAGTTTTTCCAATTTTACCAACACTACAAAATTTAGATTTATCATCAAATAAAATAATGTTTCCAAAACCAGGTAGCAGTAATAATATATAGTAAGTACCAATGATAAATAAACAAACTATAAATAACATTGATTTATTAATTATTTTATTTAAAAAAACCATAGCACTTTATTTTGCTTCAGACTATTTCAATCAGCACCCTCTTTATTGACTTTAAATTTACAAAATAATGAGGCATATCCATTAGCACCACATCATCATTATAATTATAGAATCTATATTATATCAAAGTTTCAACAACTAATTAAATTAGATGAACAAATTGTCACTGAAGAAGAAAGAAGACATTCCGATAATATATTTGATTTTAATTAATCAACCATATGGCCATAATAAAATAAAATTAAGTTTTTTTTTTTTTTTTTTTTTTTGTTTTTCTTTAATACAAATATCCTATAATAAAATATAGTTTTTTTATTTAATCTTTTAACTATCTACAAAATCTTTTTTTATTTGACTATCTTATTAAACTATTGTTATTATTATTTTATATTTTTTTACATTATTATTTTATTAATATATTAATATTATTATTGGTATTGTTATTATTATTATTATTATTTTGAAGCATTTTTAATTTGTGAGGCAGCTGATGAAAGAATATTTTCTTTTGTACCTTGACCAACATTTGAGTTTGAAACTTTTTCGAATTCACTCATTAAACGAGATTTATGGGTTTCTAAAAAGTGTTCTTCTTCTGGAGAAATCTATAATAATAGTAATGGTAAGGTAATTGTTAATATACTACTATTATTATTTTTATAATTTTTAATTTATATAAAACTTGATAATTACAGCAAAACCTAATTTCTTTAATGCAGATAAAATTTCAACAGATTGATCAATATATTCGTCCTTTGAAACTTTACCTAATTTAACATCACGTTGAATGTTACCTAATTTAGTTCTTAATGAGCCTTGATCCTTTTTAGCAAAGAGTTTAATAACTTCTGGTGTTTTAAATGCTTGACTGATGGTGGCTTGAAGAGCTAATTGTAATGATCCAAGCTCACTAACTAATGTCATATCACCTGACATCATCTTTTTTAATGATTGTTCAAATTCTTTCATTTGATTTAAGGTATCTTCTTTAGTTTCGTCATATTCCTCTTGGGAAATATCATCTTTTAACTCTTCAATATCTTCTAATTGAGCTAATAATCTATTTAATTGCTCTTCAATATTATTCTTTAATTTGCTAGTTTCGATTTGACCTCTTGATGCCATCTTTTAAAATTTTTATTATTTATGTGTGTGTGATTTGTAAATTAAAAAAAAAAAAAAAAAAAATTTATAAAAAATTATAAAAAAAAAAAAAAAAAAACCAAAAAAAAAAAAAAATATAAAAAAAACCAAAAAAATAATAATATTATAATAATTTTATTTGTTTGATTACTTACATTTTAATTATTATTTATTTTCTATTATTATTATTATTGTTTTATTTCGGTTTAATTTATTTTATTTATTTTATGATTTTTTAGAATGTGTTGAGAGCGAGTATTTTATTTTCAAAAAAAAATTAATTTACACATTACACAATAAAAATAAATATTGTATTTAAAAATCAACGAAATTATATTAATTGCTTGTCCATTTCTTCATTAATTAAGCATTTATTGTCTTTCGTTGAAAGAGTGATCAGGAACGCCCTGAAAACCAAAAAAAAAAATTAATTTTTTAAATTGTTTAAAAAAAAAAAAAAAAAAAAAAAGTGGGTTGCAATTAACACCATTAATAATAGTTAATAATAACAGATATTTATTTTCTTTGAAATCTTTTTTTTTTGTTATTCATAATAGTTAACAATTTTAAACTAATTTGTCCATACTTTCAGTTGCACAAAATTATTTTTATTTTATTTTATTTTTTTTATTTAATTAAAAAAAATTAATTTTTTTTTTTTTTTTTTTTTTGCCAAAAAATAAATAATTTTTAAACAAAAAAATTGTTTTTTTTCATTTCAAAAAAACTATTTTTATAAAAACATTTTTTTTTACATATTAAAAAAAAAAACTATAAAATAATTATTATCCTTTATTTTTTGTAATATTAAATAGTTAATAATATAATAGAGTTAAATAAATAAAATGGGTGCAGTTTGCGGTAAAGAATCAAAAGCTGAAAAGAAAGCAGCTAAAACACAAGCAACAGCCGCTCCATTGGAAACTAAACCAGCTTCCAATGTTGCTGCTGCTAGAGATACTTCAAATTCAAATGGAAAGGCTACCACTACAGCTTCAGTTAAAAAAGACCCACAACCAGATAAAGCTGCTGCTGCCGCTGCTGCTGGTTCATCATCATCATCAAATAATAAACAAACTGATAGAGATGCTGAATACAACAAGATGAAAGAAGAACATGAAAAAGAACATCAACGTACTGAAGAAATGTATCAAAAAAATCAAGCTGAAGTAGATAAAATTGCAAAAGAAAGAGATGAACTTCACAAACAAGCCGATAAAGCTTTTGAAGATGGCAATAAATCACTTGGTTTTGAATTAAGAGAAAAAGCTAAAGCCAAAACCAAAGAATTAGAACAAGCCTCCAAACAAGCCTCAAGAGCAGTTTTCAATGCCAAGTAAGTACTCACATACAAATACATATGCAGATAGTTAAAATGGTTTTAATTAAAATATTAAACATTTTTTTTTAATTTATTAGAAATGCTAAAAATGATAAATATACAGTCGATTTACATGGTTTACATGCTAATGATGCTATCGATTTACTCAAAGAGAGAATGGATGAAATTAAAGGTTCAAAAAAACAATTTACCATTATCACTGGTGCTGGTAACCACTCTGACGCCAACGGACCAAAGATCAAACCAATGGTTCACAAACTCCTTAAAGAACAAAACATTACTTTTGAAGAAGTTAATAATGGTTCGATCACTTGTACAATTTAAATTTATTTAAAAAAAAAATAAAAAAAAAAAGAAATAATAAAAACATATTTATTTATAATAAAATCATGTCTTTTTTTTTTTTTGTAATTATTATTTCATAAAATATTAACACCATCTTTCAGCAACTTTGAACACATAAATTTGCCTCCACCCCAATTACCGCCAATTTTTTTAAAAATTTTTTTTTTTTATTTAAATTTTTTTATTAATTTTTTTTTTTTTTTTTTCATTTTATTAATTTATTACACATATAATAATAAAACCAATAATAATAATTATATAATTATAAATCATATAATTATTATTATTCAAAATAATGGAAATAATTAAAAAACAATTATTTGACTCTTTAAATATTGTTGGTAATGATCCAACATTTATTGAAATGTCAAATAAACAAAAATACAGAATAAAAAAGAAAAATAAAAAGTCAAATAATAATAATAATAATAAAGAAGATGATAGTGATAGCGATGAAAGTAATGTAGAGATAATTAAATTTAGTTTCAAAGAGTTTTTCGAATGGTTACCAAATAAAGATCACGAGGAATTGTTTTCATTATTAAGAGATAATAAATTTGTACCGCTTATTGATGAAGAATTATTAATACCAGTTACAAAAGATCAAATGGATATTGTTGACGAAACATCAGTAAAGATACAGCAAAAAGTATTGTTTCAGTCTCTATACACATTAAATGGTGTAGTAACAGTATTATCAAATTTTTTAAAGACAATAGTTGACCAAAGTAGCAAAAAGAAAAATAAACATCAGGATTCAAATGCTCAAATTCAAAATTTTTCAGATTCAATATTTCAATTATTATCGATGCTTCATGGTAAATATTATTTTATGCTAGCATATTAAAAATAATGATAATATCCAATAAATAGATATTAATACTATTGTTTTAATATTTTTAGAAACATTACTATCAATTTTTAAAATAGGTGAAAATATTATCGATGAAGATACAATTTATTCAAAAGAAACAGTTTTAAAATTACAAAAAATTTATTTAAATATTTCAAATGATGTTTCATTATGTTTAGAGATATGGATAAAGAATAAGAAAGCCAACTTTCATGAACTTGTACCACAAACACTCAGTTTTTTATTATTTAAATCGTTTTCAAGTGGTATAGTTGCCGATATTACAAGATTAAATGAAGTTAGACATGGTTTATTAACTTTAGATTACAAAAGTCCAGATATCGAGTCTTTTTTAACAACTTTGGTATCATGTTTCACATTTCCACAATTCACCAAAACTGATGAAGGCAAAAAGTTTTTAACATTTCTATTTTCAATCAATACAAGTCTTATAGAGCAAATTCATATTACCGTCAAATCACAGTTGTTAAATGCAAAGAAATCCGATCGTGACAATTATGCCGAAATGTACTTTAAAACATGGAAAACATCACAAAATCAAATATTACTAAAGGTTGAATATTTTTGCATCCAAAATTTAATCAATACCGCAGTTCATGCTAGTGATAAAAAACTTTTTAAAAATTTATTTGGTTTTCTTCATTATTTCCACAATCAAAAGGTATGCAAAGAAGTCGATCCAATGTTGTTACGTCTTTACGAACCAATTCTTTTTAGATCATTGAAAGCACCTAATGCAACTGTCCGTACCAATGCTACCCATCTATTCATCGATGCTTTTCCATTAAAAGATAGTGATGCCGCCCAAGAAGAAACTGATGAACTTTTAAATAAACAATTTCAAATGATCCATGAGCTCTTATTTGATCCAGCTACTTCGGTGCGTGTTGCTGCTGTCAAGGGCACATTTGTTTTATTAAGCAAATTTTGGGAATTAGTACCATTAACTGTTTCACGTTCATTGCTTTCAAAACTAATCAATGATTTGGCATTCGATAAATCATCCAGCGCAGTTAGAGAGACGGTTTTCGATGGTATTCGTATATTATTGGATAATAGTTTATCACACAGTACTCTTAAAGTTCTTTTACCAAACTTAAAGAACCTCATTCATGATTCATCAGATCGCGTAAGAGAGGCATTTACAGATCTCTTATTATTCATCAAGGGTATTTCAACTATTCGTTTCTTTGATGTAGTATCTGTAGACAACTTAGTTGAAAGAATGGTTTTAGATTTCAAGAATACTAATATCTCAAAGAAATATACCCAATTAATCGTCGAACTATATTTCCCAGAAGATGCCAAAAAGTGGGACCTATTAAACAATTGTATAAGTTTTATTAAAAAGAAAAAAGAAGCTTCATTCACATTTTATTCAAATCTAATCTATTTCATACGACCACAATTAGTATCTAAATTTGTTTGCTCATTATTTGACTACCTCGTTAAATTTACAAGTAGAAGAACCGCTGCTGAAATCCCATTAAAAATTCAATCAACTAAAAAAATTAAAGAGAATAATGATGACGAAGAAGAAGAGGAAGAAGTTGTAGAAATTTCAGTCGAAGATATTGAAGCAGTTTTAGAAATTATTGCCTTGTTATTAAAATCATTATCACCATTGTTTGAAATGGAAAAGTTCCAAAAGACCAAAGAATCAATGTTAAAAATTTTCAATGATGAAAATCTTGCAACTATTTATTGTTGGTTTTTCCAAGATATTGTTGTACCAGAGGGCGCTAGTATTATTATGAAAATAGTTTCATACTTTTCATTAGAAAACTTCCCAGCTCTTAAAGAAATCTTATTACAAAACTTTCAAGAGACCGATTCAACATCAGCCAATGTTTTACAAGAGAATTTATTACAAAGTTTATTCTCCCAGGGTACTCAAAAAAATACATTGGATATTATAATTGGCAATATTAATTTACCATTAGAGAAACTATATGAAAAAGAAATTGATTTAAATGAAACCCAATTAGATGATGACGAAGATGACAAAGAAGAAGAAGAGGTTTCATTATCAAAGAGAAAAAGAGACTCAAAGAAAAAGAAATCAACAAAAGAAAAGAAAGTAAAAGAGTCAATAGAACCAACTGATGACGAAAACAGTTTTGAAAAAATTTGCGAAAAAGCTTTGGTTTCAATTTCACAATTGGACTTTTTATTCAAAAATCAAAATACAAGAAATAAAATACTTGGGGAAGTCGAATGCTATCAAGATTTACTTTTTGCCTTTTTAAGCTATATGCCAATAATTAAAGAGAAATTGCTTTTAGATTCAAACATTAAAACTGAAGATCAACAAAAAGATGATGAAGAAGAGGAGGAAAAAGAAGAAAAAGAAGATGGTGCCGAAGAAGAAGAGAAAAAAGTTAATAAGTTTTATTTAAAGAAATTGAATAAAAGTTTATTAATTTCAATTTTCACAATGTATATAAAAACAATGTACCATAGTGAAGTTTATAATAAAGACTTGGAGCAAGATTCTGGTTATTTCAACGACATCATCGAATTTGGCAGTAAACAAGTCGTACCAGTTTTAGAAGAGTTTTTAAAGAATTATAAAGTTACCAATAAAAGAAGAAGAACCAACGAAATTATTGATAGTGATAATGAAGGTGATGAAAACGGAGATAGCGATGATGAAAAGCAAGAGTTCACATTAAAGAATGATAAACCTTTTGTTTTAGAAATGTTGGAAATCTATCTTTTTGTAATGACTGAAAATGTAACATTTGGTTTATGCTCATCACAAACATGTTTACAATACAAGGATGAAATCACTAAAATTTTAAATATAACCAAGGGTGCAGATATTTTCAAAAGTATAATTCCAATCGTTTCAAAATTTGTTTATCAAATTTACAATTTTTCATTCATTGGTTACTCTGAACTTTCAGTCAAGTCTTATGAACTATTAAAACTATTATTTGAATATATCGATAGTAATCCAGCAATTAAAAATCAATATTATAATCAACAATATAGCAAATTAAAATTACAACAACAACAGGCTTTTAGATTGGGTGACTACTTATCATTACATCATCAAAAAGGTCAATTGGATACAATCACTAAATTATTAATTGAACAGCTATTCAAAGAATTCTCAAAGCATATAAATATATCACCTGAAAAGGACGAACATTTAGAGGTTATCGACGATATCAAAGTTTTATCACCATCCAATCAATTAATTGTAAATTATTTATCAAAGAACACAAACTGTATAGCTCAAATTTCAACATTTTTAAATTCATTTGTACATAGCCAATCTATGAATCAAAATTCAATTTATTTTACATTAAATTTAATTTCAATTTTAGTAAACAATAATATAAGTTCAAGTAGGTTATTATTATTTTTATAATGTTATTTTAATATTCACAAATATATTAATATTTTTTTTTTTTTTGTATTATTTTAGAAGTTGATATTTCACCATTACAAAGTATTTTAATTGATTTTGTTTCAAAATTACCAAGTTTTGTTTATACCAACGAAGAAGACGAAGAAGAAGAGGATGAAGAGGATCAACAAGATGAAACCCTCAAACAATTAAAAAATAAAACCATTTCAAAAATTAAATATTCAAATTTATTATCCATTTCAAATGATTTATTAAATATTACAACAAAAGAAAAAGCTATAGAAAAAAAACCAACTGTACAAAAAGAAAAGGCATCAACAATAGAAAAAGATAAAAAAGATAAAAAAGATAAAAAAGATAAAAAAGATAAAAAAGAGAAAAAAGAGAAAAAAGAGAAAAAAGAAAAATAATTAATTTAAAATTTTAATAAATATTTATTAAATTTAAAAATCCAATTATATTAATTTAGATTTTAAAACAATATTTTATAATTTTATTTATTTTAATTAAATAGTTTTTAATATTATTTTTTAAATTTTAATATTAATTATAATATTATTTTAATTTTAATTAATTAATAAATTTATTTTTTTAAATTTACTAAAAAAAAATTTGTAAAAACAAAAAATAAAAATTTAAAAAAAAAAATATTTTTATTTCTTTTTTTGGAAAATTAAAATTTTTTTTTTTTAAAATTAAATAATCTATTAAACAAAATTAAATAAAATTAAATTATTTAAATTTAAATTAATTAAAAATAGATCGTAAAATTTAAATCAATGAGATCTCTTTATATTTTATTTGGACCTTATTCATTTTATATTTTTTTTTAAATTGATCTTTTGTGGAGATCTTTACAATTTTATTTTATTTTTTTAATTTATTTTCTTATTCAAAAATTTTTTTTTGCAATTCAAAGTACTTTAAAAAATAAAAACTTTTTTTTTTTAAAAAATCAATAATAGTATCATATATAGAAATAATATATACATATACATAAATTTTAATATAATTAATAACAATATTAATAATTTATATTTATATATAAACACAATTTTAAAAGTTAGATATATATTGGGGTTTAAATAATTTGTAAGTTAATATACTCTACATAAATAAAAAAATAAATCTTTTTTATCTATCTCTATTTTTATATAAAACCATTGTATCCATTTCATTGAAATTAAACTTTTTAGAAATTTTGTCACATAAACACTATTTTTGTAAAAAATAAAAAAATTATTTTAAAATAAAATTTTTTAAATTAAAATTTTTTATTTTATTTAATTTTTATTTTCATTTCAATGAAATAAATCCTCTATTAAATTAATTAAAATTTAAATTTAATTAAAACATAAAAAAAAAAAAAAAAAAAATGAAAATAAAAAACTATAATTCAATAAAAACTAATTTATTATTTTTAAAATACAGAAATATAATAAAAATATAATATTAAAGTTATAACATTACCTTTTTTTTTTTAAAAAAAAAACAAAAAGAAACAAATTCAAAATAATATTTAAAAATAGTAATAATAATAATAATCATAATAAATAAACCATGTCAAATTTTTTTAGAAAACTAGTTAAAAAAGAAAAGGATCCAAATAGTCCAAAGAATATTAGAAGGTCATCACCAAAAATTAAAAGAAGTTTAAATGACAGTGACTCAAATATTGATAGTCCATATGGAGATGGATCAACGCCACCATATGAAAGAAGAGGTGAACCAAATCCAAATGAACCAGATGTTGAAACTACTGAAGAAGAATTAGAAAATATTAATTTTGGTCCAGAAGGTGATGCAGATAATGCTCCAGAAGATAAAAAATCATTATGGAAGAAAGTTAGTGGTTTAGTTGGTAAAGATCCAATGTCATTGGTATCTCTTCCTGTTTATTTCTTTGAACCTTTAACAGTTTTAGAATGTCAAATAGAACCATTAAGATTTGTAGAGTTAATTGAAAAGGCTTCAGAGTGCACAGACTCTATTGATAGATTAATGTATATTACTGCCTTTAATGTTGCTGTCTTTAGTTCATATGTTAGAACAGGTAAATATAATAATACTTTTAAAGTTAGTACATTGATTATTATTTTTATTAATAAAAAAATTTTATTTTTATTTTAATTTTTTATAGCAAAACCATTTAATCCATTACTAGGTGAAACTTATGAATATATTGACAAACAAGGTAGATATAAATCTTTTTGTGAACAAGTTAGTCATCATCCACCAATTGGTATAGCTCAAACTACCTCTCAACTATTTGACCTCCAACAAGAATCATGGATCACTACTAAATTCTGGGGAAATAGTTTAGATGTTTTCAGTCGTGGTCAAAACCATTTGTATTTAAATAAAACCGGTGAGCATTATACATGGAAAGTGCCATCATCAATCTGTCATAATATTATCTTTGGTAAAATGTGGATCGAACATTATGGTGAACTTACAGTAGAAAACCATAACACTGGAGAAAAAGCAATTATCAATTTCCAAAAATCCGGTTGGTTCGAAGGTACCCAAAAGAAAATAAGTGGTGGTATTTTTGATGCTCAAGGTAATACCGTTGTTAATGTAACAGGTAAATGGGACAAATATGTTAAAGCAAAAAAAGTTTCTGAACAACAACGTAAAGGCTCATCTGAGATTACATTATGGGAAGCTATAGTCGAACCACCTGAAAAGATTAATAAGTGGAAGCATGGATCATGGATCCAATCACTAAATGAAAGAACCAAAGAGTATGAAGAGGTTCTTCCAAAATCAGACTCAAGACTACGTATGGATAGAATCTATTTAGAAAAAGAAGAAAACAAATTAGCAAACAAGGAAAAGAATAGAATTGAAGAAAAAGAAAGAGCAAAGAGAAGAGAACGTGAAGTTCGTGGTGAGACTTGGCAACCAGTATACTTTAAGAAAAGAGATGACAGTAAATATGGTTACCGTTGGGACTTTAATGGTAAATACTGGGATGAAAGGGATAAAAGAGTTGATAGTGTTATCTCCTCTAAATCTGGCGATCCAAATTTCAATGCAGATCTAATTCCAGAATATGACGATTCCAAATTAAATATTAATGTTCTAAGTCAAAGAAAACTAAGTAGAGACTTAACAAATACAAGCACCCCAGATGCAACCAGACACAGCACCAAAATAGCTACCTTAAACAAAGAATCTCATCCACCAACCATTAAAGAAAATTTCGAAGAGGAAGATGTCACAACAACCACTACAACCACTACAACCACCACAAATGATAAAGGTGAATTAATATACTCTGATAAAAACCAAGCTAAATTAAAATCATTCAAAGAAGATTCAAAATCTCATACCTATATTTATTCAAGTCCAACAATTGGTCATGGTTCAAGATAATAAATAATATAATATAATATAATAATAAAATAAAAATAAAATATAAATTAAAATTATTTAATAAAAATATTATATTTAACAATTGAATATTTTTTATTTTTTTTTTTTTATAATTTTAAAAATTTTTAATTTTTTTTAATTTATTAAAATTAAAGCTTTTATTCATTTTTTTGTCACATTGCAATTTTATTAGTTTTTTATTTTTATTTTTTTTTGTAAATAATAAATATACCTATATATAAATATTTATATTATTTATATTATTTATATTGTTTATTTTATTTATTTTATTTATTTTATTTATTTTATTTATTTTATTTATTTTAATTAATTATTAATTTTTTGTTAACAAAAATGGATGATTATTTATTCATGTGCGTTTTTTTATTTATTGTTGGTACTATTATTTTTTATTTTTGTAAATTTATTTTCAACAAAAACACCAAGAATTATGATGGTTGCCAACAACAACAACAATTTCAACAACAGCAACAACAATTTCAACAACAACAAAGCTATCAACAACCACAACCACAACCATTTCCAATTTCAAGGGTTCAATCTAACCATTACCCATCTTGTAATAAAAGAACCCCAAGTTATTCTGCTCCTGATATGATTATAACAACAGATCAATCTCAACAACAACAAAGACAACAACATCAACAACAACAAAAAGATAGTGCAGCACAAATCATTGATGATGGTTTAAAGCCAATGGATATCGATTCACCATTGGTCAATTCAAGAGGATTGTCAAATACTCAACCTCGTCAAATGAATCAAGTACAAATGGCAGAGATACGTTTAATGGAACGTTTACAATTATATGGATTAATTATCAATAGAGATATCCCAGGTGACGGAAACTGCCAAATGCACGCAATATCTGATCAGATCTATGGTGACTTGAACCATAGCAGATATATTAGAAATATTATTGTTATTTGGCTCAGAAACAATAAAGGATTTAAACTTTCAAATGGAGCCACTCTTTCTGACTTTGTCTCTGCAGCAAGTTGGGAAGAATATTGTAACAATATGTCTAAAAATGGTACATGGGGTGATCATTTAACATTAGTCGCCGCTGCTGAAATTTTTAAAACAAATATTACTATAATTTCATCAGTTCCATCCAAAACTAGTTTCTTCATTGAAATTACCCCAACAATTAAGAGTGTATTGTATTATCCCATTTCGCAGAGTTTCATTACAGCTCATTGTACCATATGGAAACTATTATGGATTAGGTAAATAATTTTATTTTCAAACTATTTATTTTAACTATATACTAATTGATTTTTTTAACATTATATTCAGACATTTGTAATTATAAACATTTCAAATCCCTAGATCTATAGATAGCTGTTGTTTTTTGTTGTTTCCTTTATTTAAAATCATAACTTAGAAAAAATATTATAGCAGATTAAATATTAGTTGTTTAAAAAAGGTAGTTCTAATTAGATTGTTGATTCCTTTTTGGGGTTTCGTCCTAGTGGTTTAGAATGGTTTTAGACTTTAGGCCAAGTAAAGAGATTCGTAATTTCAATGGTATATACAATTAAAGAGCTTCGTAGTTTCATTGTCATGTGCAATTAAAGAGCTTCGTGGTTTCATTGAATGGCAAATACAGAATAAAATAAATCATTTAAAAAATAAATTATCAAATAATTAAATAAAATTATTTTTTTCCCTTTTATATTATTTTATAATCACCAATATTTCTTTTTCTCCCCTTTCTTTTTAATCAGACTCCTTGTCTCTTCAATGAATTATCTATATAAATTTTATGATTTGATTCTGGTGAAGTTGTACACTTCAAAATAATAACATGATTGTGCTCAAGAATTAAATCTAAATAAAATTTAATCACATCCAATATCCAACTATTTAAAAATAACAAGATAAACATAAAAGGAAATTAAACATTATGATAAAATAATGTTTATTTTAAGAAAAAAATTAAAAAATTAAAAGAAAATAAAAAAATAAATTTTGAATTTTTTGAATTTTTTTTTTTTTTATTTTATTTTATTTTTAGATATTGATTTTATTGGACTATTAGTTCCAGATTTAAAAAGTAAAATGTATAATTATATCTATTTTGTTTATATGTGTATTTATTTATATAAAGGTTTTCTCAATGAAAATTTTTGATTACCTCTGAATAAAAAAGAATAAAAACCCCAATATTTGATGTGTGACTTAAAAGTGTTGTACCAAAAAAGAAAGAAAGAAAGAACCCCAATGTATGACCTAAAATTGTTGATACTGAAAAAGAGAGAATAAACAAGAACCCAACGTTTGATTTGTAACTTAAATGTGATGTACCGAAAGAGAATGAATTAATTTGTGACTTATAACTTTTGATACCGGAAAAGAAAGAATAAATGTGAACCCAAAGTTTGATTTGTGACATAAATGTGTTGATACGGAAAGAAAGAACAAGAACCAATGTTTATTTTGAGACTTTAATGTGTTGATACGGAAAAAGAAAGAAATATAATGTAGAGGAAACAATGAAAAATTAGATTTTACCTAATTAAGAATTAAAATTAAATATTAGTTTCTTTTATATTCAAATATAAAAATAATTATTTAAATATTTTAATTATAGTTACCTTAAGAGTTTTTTTTTGTTATAAAATTGACTTTGAACATCTAGAATTGTTTCTGTTTTGTTGAACTAATGTGATGCCTAATTCGTTGCCTTATAAGTTTGCAGCATTAGTTACTCTCTGAATAAATATTTAATGAAATTAATTAATATATATTTTTATTAAGTATAAATATGAATGTGTAAATTACTTACTATGATGTCATGAAACTCTTCTCTACAGTTTGGGCAGGTTTTGATACGATTAGACCATTGTTGAATACAAACATAGCAAAATTTATGGAGGCAATCAATTGTAGCCATTTCATTAATATTTATAAAATTGAGACAAATGGTACATTTTTCATTGCTTTCTAAACGTTCACCTTCCAAATTATCTCTTTCTAATCTTTCTCTTTCTTCCCTCTCATTTTCTTCTCTTTCCCTTTGAGCTCTTTCCCTTTCTTGGTTTTCCCTTTGAGCTCTTTCCCCTTTCTTGTCTTTCTCTATCTTCTCTTTGTCTCTCTCTATCTCTTTGCTCGGTTGCTCTAATTCTTTCTGCTCTTGCTCTATCTCTTTGGATCCTTTGTAATCTATCTCTTTCTTGTTTTTCCATATATTCTCTTTCTCTTTGAATTATTTCTAATTTTTTTCTTTCTAGACCTTCTTTTATTTGTCTTTCTCTTTCTAATATTTGGATTCTTTCTAATTCTTCCCTTTCTCTATATTCTTTTTGGACTCTTTCAATTTCTTTGAGTCTTTCGAATTTTACCCTTTCTTCTCTTTCTTTTTCTTTTCTTAATCTTTCCATTTCGGCAATTTGCTTTTCTCTTCTTAAACTCTCTTCATCTTCGAGTTTTTGTTTTTTGGCAAATACTTTATCACACTTAATAATTTCATTATCATATTCTAATGATCTCTTCTTGATTGTGTGATTTCTAGTTGATGCAAATGTTGATGGAACAGATGAATGTCTTTGTGTTTTTGAGATATTACGTTTTTGAGAAGAATTTGTATAAACTTGAGATTGTTGGGTATTGATTGATGAAACACTTGGGCTGTTAAATTGTTGTGGTGGTGATTGATGGCTTGATGTTGGATTTTGTGGGTATTGGTGGCAATCATTTGGAGTTGAATTATTGTCAATTGGGGCTGAATTTTGAGTGTGGTTGATGTTAATTAGGGTTGAATGTTGTGTACCGGTGTAGTTGCTATTACTTATGCTATTACTGTTATTGTTATTGTTATTATTATTGTTGATTGGGGCAGAATGTTGTGTGCATGTGATATTGTTTATCTTGATTGGAGTAGAAGGTTGTGTGTTGGTGAAGCTGCCATTAATAATTGGGGTATAATGATTTGTGTTGGTAATGTTACTATTATTGCCATTGCTATTGCTATTGCTATTGCTATTGCTATTGCTATTGCTATTGCTATTATTATTGTTATTGCTATTATTATTGTTATTGTTATTGTAAGCAAAACATTTATTTATTAAAAATACTAATGAAAAACTAATAATAGCAAATAAAAAAACAATTATTAAATTATTCATTTTTAAATGGTAATTAATAAAGCTATGTGAAATGTGATTTAATGTGGGGTTGTAAATTATTTTATAAAAAATTATTATTGCAATTATTAAAAATTATAAAATTTGGGAAATATTATAATAAAAAAATAAAAGTATATGATTATATGATTATTTGTATGTGAATAAAATAATAAAAAAAAAAAAAAAAAAAATTTTTTAATAATTAAAAAATTTTTAAAAAATTTAAACAGTATTTTAAATAATGTTATAATAAAAAAATTTATTTAACAAAAATATTTAAATTATATGGAAAGATTCCTCACTACTATTAAAGTTATGATATTAAATTACATTACCATTATTATTTTTTTTTTAATATATTAGTGATTGGTCATTTTTTATTGGTCACTGTAAAGATTCAGCTTATTATGAACAAAGTAATATTATAATTATATAGGCAGTATATGAACCACAGATAATTTTTAAATGTGAATTAGCAATTAACGGTTTTAGCATAAAATTTCTTCAATGATTATAAAATTAATTAATCATTGAAAAAATAAAAATATAAAAAAATAAAAAGATTTAGATGCCGAAAAAATATCACCAGGAGAAAATTATATGCTTACATTTGATGTACAATCAAAGTAAATTCAGAAGAGATGGAGGCTAATATTTAATTAAGAAAAATATCGTTGAAGCAATTCTCAAAGCCGCTATACTGATAGAGACTCAGAAAATTAAAAATTAAAAATCAATCAAATCTGTTATTGTATATTTAAAACAATACGAAATGGTTTTACACTCAATAATTAAAGTATTACAGCTAAATTTGGAAATTTAAAAAAAAAACTATTTTTTATTTATTTATTTTTTTATATTAATATATTAAATAAAAATCCTTTTTTTTATTTAAAATTAATTTTTTTTTAAAACCTATAAAAGGAAACTATAATATTTGATCAATGACACTTTTTTTTTATAAGTTCACCCCTATTAGTTTTTTAATTTTTAATTTTTAATTTTTTTTAATTTTTTATTTTTTATTTTTTTTAAATTTTTTTTTCCCCCACTGACACAACACATAGTTATTTTTTATATTTTTTTTTGTTTTTTAAATTTATAATTTATTTTTTTTCATTTTTATTAATATTTTTTTTTTTTAATAATCATTTATAAAATTTTAATAATAATAAATTTTTTTTTTAAATAATAAAATAACTACATTATATATTTATAATAATAAAAATGAATCAAAAAATAGTGGGATTAATTTCAAAAATTATTACCTATTTTTTAGCTTTTTTATTTTTTTCCCTCATCTCATATATAGTGTTCTCTATTATAAAGTTTATTTTTTATATAATTTATTATTCAATAAATGGAGTTATTATTGTTTTTTTTTTATTTTCCATTCTTATGATAGGTATTCAGATAGAAGACCTAATTAGATTATTTTTAATAATTGGTAAAGATGTAGTTTCCATTTTTATTAATTCAATAATTAAAAATAAAAATAATAATCAAAATAACAATAATAGTAAAAAAAATAAAATTAATAATCAAGAGTTCCAAAAAGAATATGATCATATTACTTATGATACCGATGAAGATTATCATTATGATCCAAAAGAAATTATTTATGATCAAGATCTTGGCTACACAGAACAATTGATGAAGTTTAAGAGAGAAGCCGCAAAGCTAATTTACGATACTGATAAAGGCTATGAATTAAGACATGGTATCATCAAACATGCCCTTTGCTATTATGACATTGGCTTCCACTTCATTAAAAAAAGAAGATCTTCAAATAATTAGATAAAAAGAAATTAAATTTCCACTACACACTTAGGGGTTGTCTAATAGAGTCTAGGTTGTTTTTCAATTTTAGCTCTTATATTTCCATGGTGGTTGGTGCGAGTTTAATTCAAAATTTACTAAAAGGAACTTCACATGTACATAAACGAAACGAAAAAAAAATAAAAAAAAAGTTATTGTTATTTATTTTAATTAAATATTCTAAAAGGGGTTTTATATATTATTATTTTTTTCATTTTTATTACAAAAAAAATAAAATTTAAAAAAAAATTAAAATAATATTTTTATTTTTTAATTATAAAATTCTTTTTTTTGTTTGGGGTTATTTTTTAATACATATTTTGAAATAAATATTAAAAATATGTTTTAATATTAATATATATAATTTTCTTAAAATAAAAATATAAATTTATAAAAATAGTTTTAATATTTTTTATTTAATCTTTAAACTTGTGGTCTACATGACTCTGTATTCGAAACATTCATCATGCCCCATTGTAATTTTAAATCTGTAGTAATAACACCTGCTGGTGAAACCGAGTAACCATTTGCCTTGGATGTATCTAAACAACCTATTATATATTTAATTAATAAAATTATTTCTTTTTTTTTTTAGAACTTTTTTCCCATAAAAACTTACCTCCATTAATTCTAATCAATTCTTTACTTGAAAAAATTTTGTGAATAGAGATATTGGCTTCATCTAATGAAACAAAACTTTGGTGAAAACTTGCAATGACCCCACCTATAAAAATAATTTTTGAATTAGAAAATATTATTTTTTTTATTTTATTACTATACACACCTTGAAAATAAAAAGTAACTTTAAATGAGTCCATTTTTTAATTGTTTACTTGTTTAATAAATGATAAAATAAATAAATATTTTAATTTAAATAGCATTCGAACAAAAATAAAAAAATAAAAAAAAATAAAAAAATAAATAAAAAAAATAATAAAATTAATAAAATTAAATAATTAAGTGGGGGGTTGTAGGACTGTGAATTTCAATAAACTTTAAAAAATTATAATTTTTGTTAAATTTAATTATTATAATTTAAATTATTATTAATTTAATTTATTAATAATTTTATCTTTTTATTATATTTCGTTCGTTTGACATATTTTATATACAGTATAATTTTTTTTTTTTTAATATTATTATTATTATTATTATTATTATTATTATTATTTAAAATATAGGAAGAGGAGAGTTAAAGAATTATATTTAATAGGTTGGGTAATGAAGAGGAAAGTAAAAATATAAAAAAAAATTTGGATTTTTTTTTTTTGTTGGAGGATTATATTATTTGTATATATTTATGCTAATTATTATTATATTATTATTACTATATTACTATATAGTTTAAACATCAAAACCTTCACTTCTTAAACAGGCTTTGTGGGCTTCGATGAATTGAGCACATTTATCTTCACCATTATTAACAATACATTCATCTCTTGTTTTTTTGGTTTCTGGACAAGCACAACACATTTTCTTTTTTGGTGCAGCAACAACTGGGGCTTCAACAGATTGGGTGTTTTCTTGGATTGACATCTTGTTGTTTTATTATTTATTCGTTTTTTTTATTTAAATGAATGTAAAAATTATTAAAATTGTAAAAAAAAAAATTAAAAAAATTAAAAAAAAAAAAAAGGAAAAATAAAAAAAAATAAAAAATAAAAAAATAAAAAATCATCCAAATAATTTTATTTATTGCGTAATCACCTTCTCACCATTAAAGAAATTAATTCCACCACTTGTTGTTCATTGGAATAATCATTTGATTTCTTTAAATATACACTATAGTAATAAATTTAAAAAAAAAAAAATTTTTTTAAAATTCTTTATTTGTTTTTTTTAAATTAAAACTTTATTTATTTCTATATTTATAACTTTTAAATACCTAAAATGATCAAAATGGGTTAACACAATTTAACAATAAAAAATTTATTTATTTTCAAATATTTAGAATGAAATTTTTTTTATTTTTTTTTATTCATACAAAATGGATTTATTTAATAGAGTTAATAATAATATGAATATGAATAAAAATAATAGTAATATTAATAATAACAATAATAGTAGCAGCAACAGTAGTAATAGTGGTAATAGCTATAATAATAGGCCCAGGGATCAACAGCAACAGCAACAACAACAACAGCAACAGCAACAACAACAGCAAAAACAAATAAGACAATACCAACAACAGCCTAATTTTAATTTATCACCAAATACCCAAAATAGTTTTTTAAAAACTTCTCATAGTGATCCAAAGATTTTTAACCAACATAATAAACAGTTTGGAGAGTTTAAACTTTCAAATAATAATGCCAACAATAATAATAATTTGAATAATGGTAATAGCAATAGTAATAATAATAATATGAATACCAATAATAGTAGTAATAATAATAATTATAATAATAGCAATAGTTCATTTGGTTTTCAAAGAGTTCAAAGATCAAATAATTATAATGATGTTGGCAACAAAAACATTCTATTATCACCAAATTCTAATAAAGATAAAACAAATAAAGCTTCATTCAATAACGAATATATAGATAATAGCAATAATGGTAATAACAATAATAACCCATATATACATAAAGATACACCAATTCCAGATAGAATTTTGGCTCAAAATAGTTTAGAAGAAGATATACCAGATTTTATATTGGAAAATGAAGATAATAGTCTAACCGATGACCAATTTTTTAACAAATCAATTGATACAGGCCCATTCCCACCTCAAATTAATAACAATAATGATAGTAATAATGAAAACAGTTACTGCGATCAAAATAGCTATAATAACGAGGACCAAATAGAAACTAATATTTCATCAATTAATAATGCTTTTTACAATAGCAGCTATAACTTGAATAGCCATCTCAATAGTAAATCTTTTAATAATCATCAAATTTTTCAAGATGATGACAATATGTTTTTCAATAGTGGTTTAAATGTTAATAATGAAACTAGTCGCAGTAATAATAATAAAAACAATATGAAAAATATAAATATTAATGATTTAAATAATAATAATAAAAAAGTAGATAATAATAATAATATAAATGTTGACTTTACCCAATCTCTATTTTACAATATTTTAAAATCAATTAGTGAAATTGAAGAAAGACATTTCAACAATCAAGCAATTATAAATACACTTAATCAAGATTTAAAGATAACCAATAATAAATTAGCAAAGTCAATAGAATCATTTAGACAACTATCAAACCAAAAGCATACACTTCAATTAAAATTTAATGAGTTAGAGTCATCATTTCAAAAAATTCAATTTCAATTTCATTCTACCTGCATTTTATCAGAAGAAAATCAAAGAACAATTAAAGAACTACAATCAAAATTAATTTCATTTGAAGAGGCAATATCGAAAGCTGAAAAGAGATCCATGGACTTAAATGAACATAGAGATGAACTATTGAAAAATATTGAAAAGTTAGATTTAGAAAATAAAGAGTTAAAATCATTAAATTCCCAAAGTAAATATAAACCTTTATAATTAAAAAAAAAAAAAAAAAAAAAAATATTAATATCTCTTTTATTAAAATTTATTAGAAGATGAATCATTTTTAAAGCTCCAAAAAGAATTAAAGGATCATAAAAAGAGTTTTGAAAACGAAGTAGAAATATTAAATAATACAATTCGTGAGTATTTTTTTTTTTTATTTTTTTTTTTTTATTTTTTTTTTTTTTTAATTATATTAATTTTCTTTTTTTTTTTTTTATACTATAGTTCGTAATAAATTAGATTATAGCAAAATCGAAAGTGAATTTAAATTTCTACTAAATAAACAAACAAATGTTGAAATAGAGAACAGCAAGAAAGTACAAGAATACGAGTCATATAAAGATAAATCAAAGAAAAAGTTTGCAGCAATTACAAAAGAACTTGAAGGAAAAAAGAATGATTTAATCGAAAAAGAAAACGAATCTAGATTTCTAAGGGATAGTATTGAAGAAAAGGAACAACTTAACAAGGAGCTTTTAAATAACAAAGCATCATTAGAAAAAAAAAATCAACAATTATTATTACAAATCGAAAAACTTCATAATTTAAATTTAGAGTAAGTATAATAATAAGTTTTGTTTAAAATGATAAGTTAATATTAAAATAAATTTTTTTCAGTTATGAAAAATTAAAAAAAGAAAAGGAACAAATAAAAAATGAAGTACAAGCAAAAGAACAATCTATTTTAGAATTAAATAAAAAGGTTCAATCAACAGAAAATGAAATTAAAAAAATTACTCAAGATAATTTTAATTTACAAAATATTTCAATTAAATACAAAGAGCTTGAAAGTGAAAGAATGGACAAAAACGAAAGATACAATAATCTATTGAATGAAAAAGAATTATTAGAGAAGAGCAATCAACAAATTTCATCAGATTTAGCAGAATCAAATCAAAGAAACTCAACATTATTATTAGAACTAGAAACCTATGAAGGTAAACACAAAAGTTTATTAATAGATATTGAACAAAAAATTAAAAATGAAAAGGTAAAATTAATTTAAATTTCTTCTAAAGTTAAAAATTAAATTACTAAATTTTTTATTAAAATTTTTAGGATTTTGCAAACCAAATAGAAAATTTAAATTTAAAATATAACCAAATGAAAAGTGACAAAGAAAACCTTGACGAAGTAGTATCAAATTTAACAGCACAAAATCAAGAACAAAAATTGGACCAACAGAACAAACAAAACAAACAAAATATTGCATCTGATAATATAGTTGATAATGTTGAACCCAACTTCCTTTTGGATGCAAGTCCACTAGCCAATACAAATGTTGCTTTGATTGAACATAATCAAAATATCTCACCCCCACTCCCACCATATCCAACTCGTGTGAGTATAATTTCTTTTTTTTTTTTTTTTTTTTTTCAATTTCTAATTTTTTTTATTATGTTTAAACGAAGGGTCCAGTTCCAAAAGGGAGAAAACCAAAACCAACTTTAGAATATCCCTATGACATTCCATTAGGACCAAGAAAAAGGTAATATATAATTAAAACTAGATTTCTATATAAAATTATAATCGTATATTAACAAAAAAAATTTTTAATATTTACAGATCATAAGCAAAATTACTAAAAAAAAAAAATAAAAAAAAAATAAAAATAAAAAAAATAATAAAATTTATATTATTAAAATATTTCCATTATTATAATTGAAATATTATTACATTGTTGTAAAAATCGGTGTGGGTTATCTTTTTTTTATTATAACCATTTTTTTTTATAAAAATAATTTAAAATTTTTTAAAAAAAAAAAAACTGACATTATATGACACTGCCCTGATATTTAAACAAAATTTTTATTTGAATTTAGAAATTAATACCTTTTTTTTTTTTTTTTATTTTATTATTTTATTTTATTTTTTAAATTTATTTTAGTTTTTTTTTTTCTTGTTGTTTTTAACCCAAGTTATCTCATCAATTGATTTATTAGTGTTTTTTTTTTTTATTTATTTAACCACATAAAGAAAAAAATATATACATTAAATTTTAATATATAAAACAATATTATTTATAAATTATAAATTATAAAATGTCGACATATAGAAGACCTGGAACTCAAGTTGGGCCAACAGGTTCATCAACACCAACAACTACAAGTACTGCACCAGCTTATAAATCCCCATCATCATATAAAACAACAACAACATCATATTCATCATCATACTCATCACCACCACCATCAGCACCACCACCATCACATGCAGGTTATTATCCACCACCAGCTCATGGAAGCTACGCACCACCACCAGCTCATGGAGGTTATGCACCACCACCAGCTCATGGAGGCTATTATGCACCACCACCACCATCACAAACATATCATCCTCAACCTTTACCACCTCAACAATTTGCTGCACCTCCTCCACCCCCATCATCATCTCATAAAACCTATACAACCAATACATCTTCATGTTTGCATGGTCCTGGTTGCAAACATAACCATAAAATAGATAAGCATAAAGAACACAAAGAACATAAGGAACACAAAGAACACAAAGAGCATAAAAAAGAAAAGAAAAAAGATTTTTTAGATGTAAATATATAATTTATATTATTTTATAATAAATAAATAAAATAACAAGAAAGATATATTTATTAATATTATTATATTTATAATTAGCGTTGGGTAGATGATTTTAGAAATGAAGTTCGTGGATCAGGCGGAAGTGGAAGCAAACCTAAAGAAAGTCATTCACACTCACACTCACACTCATCCTCATCTCATTCTCATTCATTAGATAAACATCACGGTCATCATCACAAAAATTTTTGTTCACATTGCGGTCATAAAGTTGTATGTCATGACTCTAAATTTTGCTCTGGTTGCGGTAAACATTTATAAACTTTAAAATAAAATTAATTTTTTATGATTAAGGGTAATATGTAAAAAAAGGAATAAAAATTTTTTAAACTCTACTTTTTAATTGAAAACCAATTAAAATTCAGGAGAGGTGATTATTTTATTTTATTTATTTAACTTTTGGTTAATATAACTTCGAATTGTTTTTTTTTTTTGTTTGTTTAAATGATTATGTATAGATTTTTGGTTATTGTGATATATATATAGTTGATGGTTATTTTTTTTTTTAATTTTTTATTTTTTGATTTTATATTTTTTTGATTTTTATTTAAAAAACCTATTAAACATGTAACTCACTTGGAGTGGGCTTGTTATTGTTGCTACTATCCTTTTTGCTGTCCTTTTTACTTCTCTTAAATTTCTTGTGTTTACCATTTTCTAAAGATGGTTGATCTTCCTCATCCTCTTCTGATGCACTTGAAACAGAGTCACTATCTTCATTTGTATTATTATTATTAATATTTCCGGTACTATGATTTGATAATTTGATTGAAGATTCGCCATTATTTTCATTATTTTCATCAAAACCATTTGTATTTTCCAACTTTCTTTTTGGTATTTTCTTTTGTTCAATTTCTCCATCTGAGTTTTTATTATTTTTATTGTTACTACTTCCTAAATTACTATAGCTGGCAACAGTTTCATCTGGTTCCATTTTATCATTTTCATTATCATTGTTATTGCTATTATTATTATTGTTACCATTATCTACAATTTTTTCGCTTTCTAAATTTTCGTTATATATTATTTTATTTTTACAATTTTCGTTTTCAACTTTTTCTTCTTTTTCCTCCTTTTCTTTTTCCTTTATTTTTGCTTTTTCTTCTTTTTTTATTTGTACCTTCTCTTCTTCCTCCTCTTCTTCCTCTTCTTGCAGTTTTTCTTTTTCCTCTTCACTGTTTAATATTAATATTTTTTCTTTTTCTTCATTTACAATTTCATCTTTTTCTACAACCTTGGCAGTAATACTATCGTTTTCATCCTCGTCATCATCATCGTCGTTGAAATAAGCCTCTTCCTCTTCTTCATCGATTTCTCTTTGACTTTTTTGATATCTATTTAAATTCTTTAAAATTCCACCGGTACTATTATTTAAAACTCTATTATTATTATTATTATTATTATTGTTATTGTTATTGTTATTGTTATTATTACTAGTTGTACAAGATATTTCTGGGCTTCCAAATGAATCTTTAATTTGTTCATATTTTAATATTAGTTGTTTTAAGACATCGGTATATGTTACAGTTTGGAATACATCTTTATATTTTTCGACCAAGTAAATAATGAGATCCCTAATATTTTCCTTATAAATAAATTGGAACAATTCAATAATAGCAGAGTTGAGAAGGTTGTATTTTGAAATATTCGCTTTGAAGATTTCGATAATTGGTTCAAAGAGATTTTCTTGAATAATGTGTTGATTATAGAGATCATCCTTCATATTTACCATACTTCTAAAAAATCTAATAGAGCCCAAAATTAAATATCTTTCGTTGCTATTTGAAAACTTTAATATCTTTTTGGCAATATCTTCTTCAACAATAAAATGCTTGATTCTAAAAAAATGATGTTTGATACAATAAACTATTAACTCTATAATATTATAAAGAACAAAAGAATCTAAATTGCTACTTGGGTCACCCGGGATTGTTGGCTCACCTTTATATGTTTCATTCAAAGGTGATACTAATAAATTGATGCCTTTTTCGTAAAATAGTCTAAAAAACTCACTTGACTGTGATAATATAAAAATAAAAAGTATTGGTATAAAATATTAAAAAAGAAAGATTATTAAAATAAATAAATAAATAAATATTTACGTCGTAAGAGTCAGCTTCTAAAAGGGTTTTAATAATTTCAACAATCTGATTTTTGACACCAATATCTTGATCTTTTATAAATAAGTTAATTAATTGAGTGAGGAATTTGCTATTATTGCCACCATTGGCGGATGAAGTCAAGTGAGATCTTAAAATCTCTGGATCGTGAAGTAAAGTTGATAAAATAATTTCTGTACTCGAGATTCTAGTTTGTACAATTTCATCGTCCAATGTTGATGATAGTGTTTTAAATAAACCATATGATGCTAAAACTGTGAAAAATGTTGTTTTACTTTGAATTTGAAGACCTTTAGCTAAATTACATAAATCTTGGAGGAATAAAATTAAATCTTTTCTTTCTTCTGAATTTTTTTCACTTTTTTGAATTTGGAGAAATCTTTTAAAAAAAAAAACAATTGTTAATAATTATCTGTCTAATAATATATTATTGTTAGGTATGCATATTTACATTTTTTCTAAAAATTCTGTATCCCCTTGAATTTGTTGAACTATTTCGATATTATTAAAATATATTAATGAATTTAATGAGGAAAATGTAACATCATCTAAAACTCTTGGTAATACAACATCTTTAAGTATTGAATTCTAAAGGTTTGGTGAATAATATTAACTAAACTCTTTGATGGAAATTTAACAACTTGTTTGAATACAACACTATGATTTAAAAACTCTCTATGTTTAATTCTATTATTATCTGAAATTTCAGGGTCATCTTTATTTAAAAAAATATTAGTAAATTATTAAATTTTGACATTAAGTTTTTTAATAAATGAAATCTTACATTCTAAAGCACCCATTACTCTTAATAAATATTCTTCTGATAAAAAGTATTTCTAAAATCGATGAATCATTAAATAAAACTTAAAAAAAATAAAAAAATAAAAAAAAATATTAATATTAAGTGTTAAAAATGGGGGTAATATAAAAAAACTGTTTTTTTTTTTTTTAAGAATGATATCATAATAAAAAAAAACACAAAAATCCTATAATAATTATTTACTTACTTAAATTTTTAAATATGTTAAACATATGACATAGTTGGGGCTTGTCATCTTTTTTTTCTAGTTCATCGAATAATTCTAATAAGTTTTTAATATATTCCTAATATAAAAATAAAAATATTAATAAAACAATTTTTTATTTTTTTTGATTTTGATTTTGATTTTTTTTTTTTAAATTTTTTAAATTTTTTTTGAAAATCTTTTTTGGGATTGTATTGTGAAAAAAAAAGAAATTTTCCACAATAAAACCATAAGGACTAATTTATTATATGATTAAATTGTTGGTGTTTAATTTTCTACTTACCTCTTTAATGATTAAATTTACAACCCTATCTTTATCCATTATTGGTAAATGAGCATCTAAAAAATCAACAATTATTTGTAAATTATTAGCTGATATTTGAGGTAAATCTACATCTACACCATCACAACTTGCTCTTTGTTTTTGATATTGTAAAATATGTTCCCAAATTTCTTGACAACCGACCGAATCTTGAAAAGATAATGCTAGATCTAACTGACTTTCTGGTTCTGTCCACACTATAAGTGAATCCTGTTGTTTTTGATAAATATCTTCAGCTGATAGTTTGGTTTGTAGGATGATAGAATTGTCATTTTCTGATTTCACCAATAATCCCAATGCACAAATATTATCTAAATATATACATGATACATGTCCTGTACCTTTATCATCCCATTTTCCGTTGCTATCTAATTGATATACCTTGACTCTTTTTCTAAGTGGCTCCATTTATATAAACTATCTATTATTGGTCTATTTATGCTGTTTTGTGATGTATTTTATTTTTATCTTTTTTTATTATTATTTTTTATAAAATAAAAAAAAAAAAAATAATATTAATTTATTATTATTATTATTATTATTAATTACTATTATTATATACTATTTTATTTAAAATATTATTGTTAGATTATAAATAAATAAATAAAACAATAATTGATGGTTATTATCTTTCTTTTTAACTATATATATAATTATTAAGATTTATTAATTAAAATAAAATAAAACTTTATTTTGTATATACAAAAAAAAAAATAAAAAAAATAAAAAAATATTTTCCTTTTTAAATTATTATTTTTTTTTTTCTATATTTTATTATTTTAAAAAACAATAACAATAATAACAACAATATATAAAAAAAACAAGTTCTTATTTATATACTATAAAATATTGGTTTGCTATTACTATATATTGTGTATGTCTATACTAATTTTAAAATATTATTAATTATATAACGGATAAAAATAAAGTATTGAAAAAAAAAAATAAAAAACAAAAAAAAAAATAGAATTATAATATGATTTAATAAGGATGTTTGTTGTATCTATTTTTTTATTTTATTTTCAATTTTAATTTAATTTATTTTTTGTCTATATAATCTAATTTTAAAATTGTATAATTAATATATTATTATTTTTATTATTATTAAAAA